TATATATATATATAGTATATATATATATATATATATATATATATATATATATATATATGTATATATTATATATATATATATATATATTTATAGTATGATATATATATTTATATATATATATAAACATATATTTATGTATCTGTATATATTTATACATAAATATTGTATGTGGATATATATTTTTTATAATATATATGTATATATATATTCATATATTTGTACATATTCCTATGTCTATATACGTACATGGTATTTATATTTGTTTATATCCACATGTATATGTATTTACGTTGAGGAATGACGAATTTCTTAACGGATGTAGCTGAGTTTATGTATTTGAATTCCAAGTAACATGTTCCAATATATATTTCATTGTATATGTTTATCCAGAATGTTCTGCGTATAGTATATTATGAACATACTTTATACGCTTATCGTGCGAGCGATATGTTCCTATTGTCACATGGTCCTACGTTTGTGTGGCGTTCCTGATTAAAGAGCAACCGACGATTGTGTGTTCCACCCTGTGATACTCATCTACAACAATGGATGCCAAGGACTTGACAACGTATATATATACAGGTCTATCCGTGTTTCATTGAGATGAGCTGCATATATTCTATTCAACGTATTGCAGCTGTGGCCGTTTACGTTGCCAAAAATCTTTTAAGGCGTACCCACATTTCACAGTAGGTGTTCTCTCCCCAGTACGTTAATACTACTACTAACGCCAATTCATAAAGTCGTCATAGGAACATTCGCTAGCTCGTTGCTGTAGTCCTCTACATGACCTTGTAGTCTCCACGCCACGTGACAATATTGTTCAACCTCCCATTTAATATCTTACTTTACTAAGTAAGTATTCGCGCAAGGAATGACACTACACACCCAGAACCCATTCTATTGCAATAGAAACCCCTATGTATAAAAATGCGTTGGACTGCTTCTGCGCACACGGGACTCTATCCGCGTTCAAAGCGGATAGAGACTCGGCCTGTATCAGCATCGCGTTTCCGGCGTTAGACAGGGTAGTTTTCTTTTAGCAGGATGTTATCGACCGCGTTGACCGTGTCCATCACAATCACCCATTCATGCCAGTTTTCGGGCCGCAATTCGATTATTGTATCGAAAATCGGGTCAGATACCCTGTTTGTAGTCGGGATTCCCCGGACAAGATACTGCTCTGTCTGTCGCCTAGTATGCCACTCAGCTGCGCATTCTTGCTGAGTTTGCGCATGTCCCCATGAGCACTCGCTATAATGCGCACACCTCGTTGCTTGACGGTGCGGGCTGAGGCTACCTCACAAGGACGACCGATCTCATCAATGACCATCACAGACGGTGTGTGATTCTGCACACACTCCACCATAACCCGGCCCTGTGCGGCTAGATCGGGCACCTGGATAGTCGAGCTGAGTGAGCCATTTATCGATATTAATTCCCACAGTAAACGTATGTGCTTATTCAGGTTAGAATTTATATACGCTTCGTGACTAAGTGTTAGAGAACGCGGCAATATAAACTACATATAAAGTGCTGCTATATGCACGTACGCAGACGGCTTCTTCATACCTGTACTCGTCGTGCTAAGCCGATACAGTGGTGCGGTATTGTCCCGTCGCCTGCGATTTCGTTGGACGTATCGACAATCAGCCATAGCACGCGCAATTTCTCGGATAATGGTGGTTTTACCACTACCCGGCTCTGATACGAGATATCAGTAGATGAATCTCTATGAGTATATACTTATATCCAATTGCGCTTAAAGACGTCACACTGCAGTAAGTACGGCTAGCAACATCGCGACCTTATCGACCAAACAGCAACAAAAGGAAAGTACATTGAATCTGACCGTGATGATTCTAGCGGAAATGTAGTCAGTACTTACCTCCCATCACCAACACGCTCTTGTCTGTGCCAAACAGGATATCGCTGATCATGCCTATGCTACCGGTTACTGTACGCCCGGCACGCATAGTTATCCCAATCACTTCTCCAGATCGATCGTGTAGCGCACTGATGCGGTGGAGAGAGCGGTCAAGCCTATGGGAGGAAGGCTGACCTTGCAATTACTGCTGAGGGTGCGTAGTGGAAAAAGTCAAAAGCATATAACTGGCGATACATGCCAGGGGTAGTTATAAGAAACGATGCGTATGAATGCGTTTCAAGTGTGTGCCCAAGTGGGGTTCATACCTAATAGTATGTATACGCATTTAGGATCTGCGTATTCTGATAGGATCAAGATGAAGCGGACTACAAGCTTCACTCGAATTTCATAATTTTTCCGCGAACATGCAATATCTGTTAACTCTGAAACCAGAACCGAGATCCGTCTAGGCAGTTGTCCCGGTACTTGCA